GGGCTGGAATCAGATGGGCCACTTAGTATGATTACAGGAGTAGCAGGAGTCTCTTTGGCTGAAGACTTGGTAATACACCTACTTTGAACTATCTCTGGCCAGAGCTGTAGAGCAATGACATCACGAATGGGCTTCCAAGGTACAATTTCCAAACCGGATGGGAAAGAGAGGCCAAAGTTTGGGCTGACAATCGGCCCATCACTCCCCTCACCAACATGTTCTTTAGCTGCTTCCTCCTTGCGCTGTAAGTTCTCTGCTAGAACTTGGAGCATCACAGCATGGACCACTGGTTTCCAGGGAACCAAATCCATTCTATTAGGCACAAAAACCTCAACTGCCTCCTGTGCATTAAAAATATTCTTGTCAATCACAATGGTGTTCACTGTAGGAGAGCAAAGAGACTTGGCATTGGGAAAAGCCAAGTTCAGAGGGTAGATGCCACACCTTATGAAGCCATCAGGTAACCCATTATTGGTGTAGAAGAGCTGATCTGCATATAGCTTATTAGCTGCCATAAACTTGAGAGCCTCTTCATCAGCCAGAGGAGAGGATGCATCACTAGAAGAAGAGCTGTCTTTTGGAGGAATCTCTGGTTTATTCTGAGCAACTACTTTAGGAGCTGGAGCAGGGTTCCAAGCAGCCCAATTGTCAGCTATAGCGTGAGCACCATCTGCAGCACTAGCTTGGACTCCATTGTCTTCCATCTGATGGTCCTTTGCAACAATTGGGATTGGGTGGGCTGGATTGGGCTGATCCCGACTTTGGAAAGGTAAAGAGTTCGACTTCCCAGCGTCGACGGCACGAGATTCTAGGTCTTCGCAGTCAATGTGATTTGTTGGGATTTCCTTCTGTATCTAGACCAATCTGGGCTGGGCCTTGGTGAGACATATTCTCTAAACATGACCATAGTTAAAACAGGCTTGACATCTGATATCATTGGCACACTGAGAACGATCATGCCTAGTATCCATGCAACGACTGCAGCCCATGCGGCCTAAAGAGGGATTTGAAATTGAATTCGAAACTTTGGCTTCAAGGAAATCCACCGTGCAAATAGCATCGGACGAGGAAACATGCATCTCAGAACTGTCACGAAGAACACGGCTGCGATTGAGACGAAAATCAAATTTGCGTCCAACAAAGGGGAGGGAGATCACTCCAATCTCAAGCTTCGAAGGTAGAGGAACAAGATGGGAGCCAAAACGTATTAGACTAGGAGGCTGAGCTGGTTTTCCGGTGTCATTTGCACCAATATTTTCGCAAAGGAAACACGCTTGTTATTTGCCTTTTTGATAGATCTCTTTGTGCTCTTTGAAAGAGCAGTGGACCATTCTTTTTCCTGTTCTACTTCCAAGAGACGTTTTTCACGTTCCCAGTTGGGCATACCATTATTCCAAAGATGAAAGTAGACGTCAAATTGGGAAGAGATCACACGACGAAGGCGATACACGTGAAAACCAACTTGCTTGCAAGAGACAGAGAAACGAAAGTGGTCCGTGCTTAAGAATTGAACATGAAAACCCGCTGCACGACCACCCAAACACGATTGGAGGGCCAAGGAGACTGAATCCTCCGTCAACAGAAACAGGAAGCGGCGAAAAGTGGCAAGCAGAAAAAAAAGATCCATCGGGCGAAGGGGAATGATAGTGTACCATGGTACCAAAACGGTGATCCACCTCTTCTTCAAAGGCTCGCCCATGGGAGAAATCCAGACGGGCGGTGAGGTCAGAGCAGGACCCCATGTTGACGATGGCACAACAGATCAGCAGGGGTGGTGGAGGAGGCCGGCGGTGGACGCGATCTCACCGGCGGGGAGGTGGGGCGGCTACCGTAAATCTTCAAACAGCTTGCATGCAAGCATCGCAGGATCCTCCTCCAGATTTGATGAAACGCCGAGGAGCTAGTGCGGACCTTCGCTGGGCACTAGCATCACCTGATGGAGGAGGGCGCCACGGCCGGAGCAGCCAGCGGCGGCTTAGGCGGTGGCCGCCGGGGTCTGGGTGACCACCGGCGCTAGGACAGACGCGTGCGGCGTTTGTGCGGGCAGGCGAGGCGCGGGTCGCGTGCGGTCAGCGGCACGCGGCCTTCACGTGCGGGCGGACACGCGGGCCGGCGGCGGCGGACGTGCGCGCGGGCCAGCGGCGGCGGAACTCAACCCTCACAGTTTTGCTATCAATGGTTGTGCCAGCTGCGTGGGACAATCGTGATTTCATCCCCATCATCTTTCGGGAGCAAGGAAGGTTCAGTTGAATGACAAATTTATCTCGTAGTATTATGCATAGGTTCTTTCATATAATCGATGCCCTTAAGTCATTATAGAATCCAACGGTGTATGATATTTTCTATTTTTTGAAAGATCGTAATTGTATTATGTATGGACTCTTCGATTTAATCTAAGACAATAGATCATTATAAAATTCAATGTTGTAGGTTCTTTTTTTGACACTACTACACTAAACTTTTGTAGGGGCGGCAAAAGAGCATTTGTAGGGGCGGTTTTGCCAACCGTCCCATATCAAGGGGTTGCTATAAATCCTGATTTGTAGAGGGCGGTTGACCAGCCGCCCCTATAAATCGGATATTTAGGGGCGGCTCTATATCCAGCCGCTCCAACAAATCTATTTTCTAGAAAATAAGAAATCGTCCCAAAAAATAGCAATTTTTTTAATCACCGATCAGCCACCCGCTCGCTCCGTACTCTCCTCTACCACTACACCTCACACTCACTTGTGTGTCTATACTGGATTTTGGTTCCCCACGTTTTATACTGAACCGAGCATAAATTGATTATTTAAGGCCCTAAACGATTTCAAGTGAAAAAGTTATCAACTATAAAGTTTTATATCTTTTTGAGATCTACAACTTTTATTTTAGTAGTTTCTCCATCCGAGGTCGTTTACAAAATTTAAAATTTAAATTTGAGAAATTCAAACGTAGTTTCCATAACAAGATGATTTCAAATGAAAAAAGTTGTCAACTACAAAGTTTCATAACTTTTTGAGATCTACAACTTTCATTTTTACTGTTTGTCCATCGAAGGTCGTTTAAAAAATTGAAATTTCAAATTTTTAGAAATTCAAACGTAGTTTTCCTTGACAAGATGGTTTGAAATCAAAAAGTTATCAACTGTAAAGTTTCATAATTTTTCGAGATCTACAACTTTCATTTTGGTAGTTTCTTCATCTAAGATCATTTATAAAATTGGACTTTCAAATTTTAGAAATTCAAACGTTGTTAACGTTGACAAGATGATTTGAATGAAAAGATTGTCAACTACAAAGTTCTATAGCTTTTCGAGATATACACTTTTATTTTGGTTATTCGACATAGTGGTAGTGACATTGTTTACAAATTTTACATATCCATCCTATAGTTTATGGAAGTACAAGAGAGATGTAAATTTTGTGAATAATGTTACTATCACTTTATCGGATGAAGAAATGACCAAAATAAAAATTATAAATCTTGATGAGTTCTATGACTTTTATGTTTGACTTTTTCAGCTGAAATCATTTAATGTTTCAAAATAACGTTTGGAGTTGTTATTTTTTGAAATTCAAAATTCAAATAGATAAAATACAGTCACTGAAAAGATAAATAAAATAATAGCGGTAAGAACACAATAAATTGATAGAGCATGATTTTAAAAAATTTTAGAAAAAAATCATCAAATTTAAAGTTAGTATGAAGGAAAAAGACTAGTTATAAGTTTTAGCCACAGATTAAAAAACAAATCAGAGTTCTTCAACAATTTAAAAATTAAATTTTAAACAAAATTTTAGAGCAGTAAATGATTTCAAATGAAAAAGTTGTAAACAGCAAAGTTTCATAACTTTTCGAGATCTACAACTTTTATTTTGGTCATTTCTCCATCCGAGGTCGTTGAAAAAGTTCAAATTTTGGTGCTTAATTTTTATTATTTGACGTCTATTTGTAGGGGCGGCTGATAACACCAGCAACCCTTACAAATGGATTTGTAGGGGCGGCTCATTTGTCCCCTATTCTTAGGGAGCCAACCCTATGAAAAAGGGGCGTTGTTACAAATCTTTTTTTTGTAGTAGTGTGGGTTAATCTTATAATTGTCGCAGGAATGGATTTTTTTTTGTTTAATCTAAACCGTTCAACCATCATAAAATTCATTGGTGAGGATTTTTCTTCATTTTCTGATTAATCTTATAATTTCTAAGTCATCTTGGCAAATATGGTGGCTTGTTTTATTGGCCAAATACTAAGATAACAGATTTGATTTGAAAAAAACAACAAAAGGTCAAAAGTCTGCTTTGTTACTAGCCCAATCATCTGGGAGGTTTTGTATTTAAAACGCATTATATTAGTCTGAGCTGAAGCAGGAAGGATCACGATTCACGAGGCAAATCCTTATCAGCAGCTAATGATTGAGGTCAAACAGCTGGAACTGGTTGATTAATAGTGGAAATCTTCGTAGAACAATGTGAAATTGTGAACAACGACAGAGAGCTCTAAACCTGTAACTGTTACGCATAACAGAGCATCCTGAACTCACCTGGGCAACGCGAAAATGATAGGATCACGGACAGAGTTCTACCAAGTCCAAGTGTAGGGTGGCAGCCCGTGACCGTGGAGAACATGAGATGAAACTCTCTCTTCCAAGGAACAACCACTGGTAGTCACTAATCACAACTCACAAGACCATAATTCAGGCGGAGGAAGAATCATGTCTCAATCAGGTAGATTCATCGGTTGAATTAATTCAGCCATTGGCTGTCTTCATGGATAATCAGCAAGCATCTGCATGTATACTACTGCATGATCGTGACCCATGAACAATGATATGATTGATCCGTTAATAATCAGGCAAGCCACATGCAACGTGCATGATCACCCCTGCTGTCGTCGGCCAACCGTCGGCTCGCCGGCAGTTGCAAGCTTATATGTACCACACAAGCAGAGAAAACAGTGTGCATCAGTCACAACAGACCGCAAGTGATCTGGCTTGGCAGGCAACATCCTAGTGAGAGACGATGGACCAGATGGCGATGCTGCTCTTGCTGCTGAGCTTGTGCGCCTCTCGGCTCGGCGGCGCAGTGGCGCAGCAGTACTGGACGCCGGCCACCGCGACGTTCTACGGCGGGAGCGACGCGTCCGGCACCATGGGTAACACTGTCACTGACTGACCATTTTCTTGGCAATGCAACTCTGATCCACGCGTTCGTTCGTCGCACTGATGCGCGTGTACTTGTCGTGCTGCGCGTGCGCATGCAGGCGGGTCGTGCGGGTACGGCGACCTGTACAGCGCCGGGTACGGTACGCAGACGACGGCGCTGAGCACGGCGCTCTACGGCGACGGCGCCTCCTGCGGCGCGTGCTACCTCATCACCTGCGACGCGTCGCGGACGCAGTACTGCAAGCCGGGGTTGCCGTCCGTCACCGTCACGGCCACCAACTTCTGCCCGCCCAACTACGGCGACCCCAACGGGTGGTGCAACTCGCCGCGGCAGCACTTCGACATGTCGCAGCCGGCCTGGGAGACCATCGGCGTGTACCAGGCCGGCGTCGTCCCCGTCAACTACCGGAGGGTCTCGTGCCAGCGGTCCGGCGGGATCAGGTTCAGCATCAGCGGCCACGACTACTTCGAGCTCGTCACCATCACCAACGTCGGCGGCGCCGGCGCGGTGGCCGCGGCGTGGATCATGGGGACCGGCACGGACTGGCTGACCATGAGCCGCAACTGGGGGGAGAACTGGCAGAGCGGGGCCTATCTCACCGGAAAGGCCCTGTCGTTTAAGGTGCAGACGAACGATGGCAAGGTCGTCGTGGCGTATAACGTGGCGTCGGCGAACTGGCAGTTTGGCAGCACCTACCAGGCCTCGGTCAACTTCTACTAGGCCCAGTTGGCCGCGCCACTTCAGATTCAACTGAGTGGGCCATGTTAACTAACAGCCCATGAGTCGGAGAAAATCCTTACAGTGAACACGTGTATATTTTTTTTTTATTTTGATAATACAAAAACCTGATAAGCGCACTTAAGTTCCTATATAATTGTTAGAAAGTAGAGAATGAGAGAGATCGATTGAAGCAAATGATTCTATGTTGTATTCCCAATGAACAATGTACACATATATATATATAGGCCCATGTGGACGGTTACAAGTGTGAAAGAGGGAGAGTGGGTGAAAAGATACCCCTTGGATTAATCTTTAATTGATCACTAAATAATAATTCTCAACACTCCTCCTTAATCAATTAGCTTGTTGTAGTCTTTCCTATTCATCTATTATGCATCATTATGAATCTTTGGAAAACCCTATGGGAAAAATCAAAGTAGTACCCGTATACCAGGCAAAACTCCTTAAAACCCAGTGAAAAAAATAAGGAGAAACACCATGATATACGATCACTAATGTTATTAGACCCTTTGAGATAAACTCAAAGCCTTAGTTTAGAAACACCTTGACCATAGAGTCAATATGCTTCAAATATCATCTTCCAAAACCCCGGTGGAGAAAACTAGATGATATAGCATATACCTTTGTGTTGAACATTGCCTCATCAAAAACTTTATATGAGAAACCATAAATGGAAAACTCACATAAAGAAAAGAGTGAAATGCATTATATGTCATAATATCACCCTCCAAAAACCCCTATGGAGAAAAATGGATGGTATGACAACCAACCTTGTGTTGATATTGCCTCATTAAAAACTTTATATGAGAAACCCAAAGGGAAAAATTCATACAAAGAAAAGAGTGCAATATGATATTTGCAACAAGTTATTAATCATAGAGACTCTCACCCTGATACTAGCAAACCTCAAAGTAAATTCATACCAATGCACTCAACACATAAAAAATGTGGAGTATGGTAGATTCTTTGAATATCTCTGCAAGATTATCATGAGACATAGTTTGCAAATGTTCACATGCCCATATTACCTATGGAATAGAACCATATTAGTGCAAAATATTGCATTATAACTTGTCTCCATCTACACAACACAAGTTGCATTACCTTTATAGATAATGACCATTAATTCATAGAATCAACACCACATAACTTCAGTATGTGATATATTATTCTGTCAAGCTATACACATTCATGTGAATCCTTGTACAATACAATGTCAAAATGATTGGTGGAAATGATCATTGATGTCTATTTAAAGACTACCACAAAATGGTCTTTCTAGATGTACATTAAGCCTTTTTAATGATCTAAAATTTGGGGATCTAATAGATAACCAGAATCATTATATCCATTTGGATCATGGGTTCTTCCAAATGAACACACCAAGATCACTTGTGCTATTAAGATATCAAAAGATATTCTTAACTTTAATCCACCAATATTTGGTAGGAGTAGCGCTGCTAATAGATAGCAAATCATTGCAAAAATAATATCCGACCGGGAACTTTTACAAGATTTAATTATTAGCGCATAAATAGCACAAAGATAATGGACCACATGTCCCAATATCTTATCTCAGTCGCTATGGCATAAAACAATCTTCCTCTATCATGAGGTAGAACAACCATAGGATACCTTCATATTGAATCACTCAATATGATCTGGATATAGATAGCTTTTGTATAAAATCCCAAGAGAAGATGCTTGATCATAAACACAAAATAAAATTTTGGTTTAGTCTGTATCTTCCATCTCAAACTCCGTCTTTAGATTACAACGTGTTATTATCATGTGTTCATCACTAATAATGTCGAGATTATTGACGATCATATGACACTATGAAATCCAATAAAGGACTTCAAAAATGAACATCATGTGTGATCAATCTTGTATCCCTTCAGTTTAGGGAATACACACAAAGTCGATTGTACCAAATTTGACTTATCTGCTTTAAGCCATATATTGACTTAAGCAATACACAATATATGTTGTAATTTTATGTATGAGGGTTGGGTATATGAACTCCTTCCCGGAAGCTTCACAAATAAACCAAATCAAGTGATCATATAAATATATGCAATCACTACATCTATCACCTATCAACTGCAATGATAGATGCTTTTGTAATACCGATCAAAGATAGTATCGGAAATTTTTAACACTTACTATGGAGAATAATTTGCATTGAAAATCAATGCCTGGGCTTTTGAAAGGTCCTTGTTTGGTTTTGGTAATTGAGTGATAACCTAGGTGGACTAATTATGTTTAATGTGAGATACACAGGTAAGTAGTCCACAGGAACACTTGTGTAAGCAACTCATTCCATGGAGGTGAAATGGCTTGGATATGTTGCAAAGCTCACACATGTGATGATGGCGATCATTGCATATGAGACATGACATGGAGTCACGTGACTAAGGTGGAGAAGATCAAGACAAGGCTTGGCTTGATGGACCAGTTGCAAGCGTGAAGGGCAAGTTGGAGGCTTTGGAGCGATGGACCACGTGGCGGTGAAGCTTGAGCAAGACTTGGCGTTGATGGACGAAGGCAACGGTAAAAACCAAGTGAAGTCAAGATCGATGAACCAATACGGTCACATTATATGAAGTGGATCATATCATTTGTGATTGGTTGGTGCATGTGTTGCATCAATACCGAAGGAGATGGAATGGAATGCGCAAGGCAAAGGAATAACCTAGGGCATTTCATTTCACCGGTCATAGATGTGTAGAGAAGTTTATGACCGGATTTATGATAGATGGTTGTACTATCAAGAGGAGCAAACTTGTTTGCATATCGGTCATCTAGTGCCACTTGAGCGATCTAACTTTGCATACGTGTTAGGATCGAGTGGCATGGTGAATTGAGTGACTAATCCTTTAGAAAATATTTGTGAAAATCTAACACATGTGCACAAGGTGGTGTAACACTTAGTGGTGTTAGCACATTTGCAAAGGAGAAGTCAAAAGGTGAAGAAAGGAGGCAAAACCGAGCTTGAGGGGCTGCCCTAGGGGCACTGTCCCTATCTGTCCGGTGCACCGCCACCACAGTTGAAACGACCTGATTTCCGCGAAGGAAAATCCACAGAGTCGAAGTGTAATAAGACCGTTATAGATCATATTACCCAAATTCCAGTCGAATATCACATCCATACAACGTAATATCAGAGTACAAATAGGGCGGAATTACATAAATTATTACATCGCCGCATTGACGGAATCGAAAGTAGCATTCATTCAGAATAGCTTGAAGATAAGATCGCCCAACTCGAGCATAGGAACGAACCCCTCAACCGTCAAACTCCTCAGAGCTATACTCCTCAGCAGATCCTGTGTGCCAAAGTTTATCAGTACGATTTGTACTGGCCACTCCCACCCTATGAGCATTGCTTTGTGGAAATTGGATGCAAGTTGGATATAATCAAAAGGAACCTATAAGGCTGGGGTTTCCTATGTATTAGCATATCAATTATATAATAATAGTTGGTCAAGTTTTAACACCATTCCCAAACCCATTCCACCCCAGTTCTATCTAGAGCCAGGTTTCGATCCTAGGATCGATATACCACCATCTCCACACCATCACCACATTACTACCATACCATTGCTCAGTCGACAGGCCAACTCTCTCTTGGCACTGTCTCATGGCCCGTAGCCCCTAGCTACGACCGAACACTCACTCACAGGCGGAAGAAGAGAAAGACTCATCTCACTATCTAGTTTAAGCGAAACCCAGGAAAGGTCCATAGCTGACAAGTCAGCATATGTATCGATCGATCAACCATACACTCTGCAGAGGTTTTACATAACCACAAGATCCGTCTTCCTCGCTGACCGTCGTCAACTGGGCTGATTCCGGCCGCTTGCTAGCCTAGGATAATGCCACCCTACCATTCAGCCCTGGTACACCCCAAGTCTAGTCTAGGGTGGCTAAAACTGTGAGTCACGAGCCGGGTCCACAAGGTCTCCATGAAGTGTCGGAAGGGTGTGGGGGAATCCTCCATGCCCCGTACCTCCTCGCACTGTCCGCTATCAACCTAGCAGTAGTGGTAATATCCTACCAAGTAGTCCGGCCATCCCGCACCATATAGGGTGAGTGGTATGTAAGGCTTCCCGATGAATCTGAGTACTAGTAAGTCCTTAGGGATGACAAAGCAGAATGTCTTCATCAGTGTTTCCATTTACTGTGCCACCACAGCACCTCCACCCCGGGCTCCTCCCATCACAGGTTCACACCCAGGGCCACCTCATATACCATTTTCCCACCACAGGTATCCATTTCCAGGGGTGCCCAGGTAGCACCCCGCGGCAAGACTTGCCCCAGGCTCGTCGTATATTCCAACTTGGTTGACACAACCCTCACCCTCCACGCACCCAAGTCACACACGCAACACTCTCCCCATAGTCCAGATAACACCAGTTTCCACCATGCATCAATGTAGTACAAGCATAGTAGAAGTAATAAGCAATGAAATATAGCATCAAGCGTGTGTCTAGCCTAATAGCAGGGTAAGTAGGGGTAAGGTTGCGTCAAGGTATAGGCCATCAAGTAAGCATACTACCATGCAAGTCCTATCATAGTGTGAATATAACAATAAAGTAAAGCAATAGCAGTTCTATATTAGCCATGCGTAATAGGTGCTACGAGGTTGGGTGGGATGTGGCACCTTCAGTGAAGTCGTCCCTGCACTCCTCACGGTACTCACGATCCTTGTCCGTCTGGTTCTCCTCCGAGTCTGTATACAATCGAATTATAATCGCGTTAGCGACGTCTATAGAATAGCACAAAGAAGCAATGAAAATTCAAAAGAGCCAAATGCACTCAAACATGGGTTCATTGCGTAGAGCTCGATTTTAGATGAATTTTGGTCCTGGTTTCATATTTTTCTGAGGTCGTATGAATTAGTCATGAATTTCCGAAGATTAAATCCATTTCTGAAAATAATTAAGGCTGATTAATTCAGGGATGACACGTGTCAC